AAGCAAACCATTTTAATATGTTCTTTCTTTCATAGCAGCAAGCTTTCTCTAACAAGCTTTTTGTTTTAGTGCAAATACTGTAGGCCTGTATTACAGTAAAATAACAAGAACAGAAAAGAGACAACACCAGAGATAATGCCTCAGAGCTGAGATTCTCCAGGACTGCAAGAACGATATCAAGATCACGACAAGCAAAGAAGGGTCCCAATTCAGCAGTCACCTTTAAGAACCTCCTTGGCAGAAACTATTTCACTGCAGAGGGAAAAAAAAAAAACCCCAGCAAAAAAACCCCCATGATCGAAAACTCTCAAGGAGAGGGGAGAAAAAAAAAAAAAAAAAAAAAAGAAAGATAATGGTGCCCCCAAACCTTCAATAATCCTCATGGTTGCCTATTAATCACTGAGGCTTGATTCCACCTCCAACACCCGCTTTGCAGCAGCACAGTGCTACTGATGCTTTCAATTTGCCCCCAGGAGAGTGGAATCAGAATCAGGCCCTTTGTGTATCTGAGGATCTTAAAGTAGACTTTAGTGACACTAGTAACTTATCGCTCTAATAAAGATGCACTATCCCTTATTGATGTTACTTTGAACTACACAGTATATCAAGATATATACAACATTTTATCCTCTCACTGAGCAAAAACAATTGGATACCTATTTTCTATACATTTTAATAAGGTTTTAATATCAAGTAACCACAAACAAGAAAGTGGAATAACCCTTTAATCATACAGGACAGAAGGGGAACAATTAAGTAAAACAGGATGGGATTTTATTATTATCTTGTATTCTGAGATTTGTCCTCAACTCCACCTACTGTTCACAGAGGAATGATAATGCATCTTTAGAAACATATCTCTTTTTACATTTTATACAGACAACAACAAAACCCAGAATATTTTATTTAAAGAATTGAAAAAAGTTATTAGCCTAAAAAAAAAAAAAGAAGATTGGAGTATTTTTAATGCTTTCTTTATTATATCCAAGTCTTGAACAGAAAAAAAAAAGATGTAAACATGATAAATAAATAAGAAATAAAATGTAGATTGTTCCCCCCACCTGTTAAAATGTTTGACTTGGCCTTCCTAATGAAAATGAACTTGTAAGTGTCATAATAATAAGATTTCTTACATTTCAGAAGTCTGTTTTATAATGGAAAAAACCAACAACAAAAAGAAGAAAAAAAAAAAGCAACAACCAAACACCAGGAATGTGAGTTAGGAGGATGTTAAATTAATGGCGGGGGGGTA